TCCACGGGAAAGCCTCCAGGTCTTGGAGAGGAGGTGGAAGTCTACTCTGCAGTCTACACTCCGGAGCTTCCCATCAAGCTTCAGTGATGTTGAGATCTGGAGACTGGGGAGACGATGGGACGTGTCTGACTTCATCATGAAACCACTCGTGAAGGAGTTTAACAGTGTGTATGGGGGCATGGGGGAACATCTTGGGGAAACAATGTTTGCACCATAGGGCGCACCAGGTCATCTAAAATGGCTTCGTACTCCTTGGCCATATTTCTACCAGCAGAGTAATCATCAGACCCAGTGACTCCCATGAGTTGGCTGCCCAGACCATAACAGACCCTCCACCACGTTTAACAGTGGGGAACAGGTAGTCTGGGTTGAAGGCTTCCTTTGGCTTTCTCCAAACACAAATCCATCCAGATGTAGGAAGAAGAGCAGAAGGAGACTCATCAGACTGCATTGCTTTTTTCCACTGCTCACGAGTCCAGATTATGTGTTGCTGTGCATTGGTGTTGGGTCCAAGCAGTTTCTGAAAGGCAGCCCTGCCATAAACACCAGCTTTGGGAAACCCATGACATACTGTAGTGAGACTGGAGCACATACAGTAGGTGTAGGTTCAGTTCTGTGTTAATTTTTCAAACTGTTGTTTTGTGGGTTTTTTGCAATGATCCTGTTAAATGTCTGTCGCTGAGCTTTGACTTGCAACCACTGACTTTCTCTCCTGAGGCCGTTTTCGCTTGTTTGGCATCTGCTGTCATAATCCCTATTCCGGAAGACAGAAGATGTGTTAGTGGAGCCAGCAGGGGGCGCTCACCCTGCGGTCCATGTGGGTCCTAATGCCCCGGTATATATATAAACAGGCGCCATCCTTCGGATGAGACGTAAAACAGAGGTCCTGACACTCTATGGTCATTAAAAATCCCAGGGCGTTTCTTGAAAAGAGTAGGGGTGTAACCCCGGTGTCCAGGCCAAATTTCCCATCGGGCCTTATCAATCATGGCTTCATAATAATCCCCCTCTATGAACTGGCTTCATTACTCTGCTCTTCTCCTCACTGAGAGCTGATGTGTGGTGAGCGTTCTGGCGCACTATGGCTGCTGTTGCATCATCCAGGTGGGGCTGCACATTGGTGGAGGTGGAGGGGATCCCCATTACCTGTAAAGTGCTTTGAGTGGAGTGTCCAGAAAAGCACTATATAAGTTTAAGCAATTATTATTATTATTCCGTTTAATACATAAAATAATTTAGCCATTTCCGTGACTGATGCATCTACAGTACAAATGGGGCACCAATTAATTGAAGTCTTTTAATATCTGTTAGATCTCGCGTATTGCTTGAGAAACCTACGGGTTAAAGTGCTGATTTCAGGACGTCTTTTATGATG